AACAGGAAGTAGAATGATGAAGCTGTGCATTCCCCAAAGCCTTCTTCGCCAATACCCATCTCAGCTGTGGTCATCAAGTTAAGAGAGCTCGTGTAGTGCATTCAGATCCTCTCCAGGACTGAAGAATTTGTTTCCTCCAGCTGCTGGGAGTGTTCCTGGCTAAGAGCCCTCAGCGGTCAGTCTTCCATAAAGGATCAAAGCTTCAGACCTCCTTCTGTTTTGCTGAGGCCTTCGCTGAGACTATCACATCCTGATGTCTCCCTTTGCCCTCTGTGAATTCAGTTTTGTTTTCTGCCTTCACACTAATGATCCCCAGTGCACATCCTAATAAACTTCCTGCATACTAGCCTCTGCCCCAGAGTCTGTTTCCCCTTGAGCTTTACTTTTAAAAACTAGAAAGACCTTTCAGAGAGCAGAGGCTGAGGCTATTGCATGGGCTACTTAAAAAACTTCACCTACTGCTGCAGCAGGGTACCCTGGCTATTGACCAGGCTACCTATGTTTCTTGTATTCCCTTTTCTGAATAGGAACATGTGTGTGGGGGGGTGTATGTGTTATTTCTCTAAAAACTGAAAATTAGTCATATTGACATTTTCCCTCTTAGCTTAAAGGAGCTTTTTAACAGACTATTGATGCACCATGACCTAGAAAAAAATCTTTGCAGAAACTTACATGACGGTCTTCTTCCATGTGTGTTGGTATAACAAGATACCTTAAAAACAGTAATTTCTGTTTGTTCCTTTGTTTTTAAAGACGGGGTCCTGCTCTGTCACCCAGACTAGAGTGCAGTGGCATGATCATAGCTCACTATAAAAACTGGGTAATTTATGAAGAACAGAGGTATATTTCTCACAGTTCTGGAGAGTGGGAGGTCCAAGATCGAGGTTCCAACAGATACGGTGTCTGGTGAGGGTCGCCGTCTGCTTCTAGAATGGTGCCTCCTTACTGCCTCCTGACAGCAAGGTGGAAGGGGACAAAAAGGGATGAATGTTGTGTTCTCACATGGTAGAAGAGATGGAAGTGCAGGCAACTCTCTGAAGCCTTTTTTGAAGACAGGATCTTATTCTGTTGCCTAGGCTGGAGTGCAGTGGTGTGATCATAACTCGCTGAAGCCTTGAACTCCTGGGCTCAAATAATCCTTCTGCATTAGTGTCCCAAGTAGCTGGGACTACAGGCACATACCACCATATCCAGCTAAGTTTTGAAGTTTCTTTTAGATAAAGGGGTTTTACTATATTGCCCAGGCTAGTTTTGAACTTCTGGCCTCAAGCAATCTTCCTGACTTGGGCTCACAAAGTTTGGGATTACGGATGTAAGCCACAGCACCCAGCCTGAAGCCTCTTTCATAAGGGCATTAATTCCATTCATGAGGGCAGACCCTCATGACCTAATCAGAGTCTAAAAGCCCCTGTCTCGTAATGCCATCACCTTAGGGGTTAAGTTCTGACACAGGAATTTCAAGGAGACACCCACACTCAAACCATAGCAGTCTTTGTCAAAAATGGACTAAATATCATTCAATTAGAATTGATTACTGTTAAATAAAAATTTCAACTATGAATACTATATTCTTTCTTCATTTGGGGAGACCAATTGTTCTAAAAGGAAGGCTTCCTCACTTTATTATGTTTTATTATTTTGCAAATAACACTTTCCTCAACAATCAAAAATTGCCTATGAAACTTTTTGAACACTGCCATGGGAATGTTGGGTGCATGTAACTTGATTTTTAGTTCATAAGACATGGAAGCATGAGATGCTACATAGAGACCTAAGGCCCTTCTGCATGGCTGATCCATCCTTGTAAATGTTTTTGTAATTTGGGCCACCTTTAAGCTACATCATTCCTCTGCTGATCAAAGCTTTATTGTGACATTTACTTTAGAGTCCTGATCTCTATGCAACAATGACTCCCATTAGCAAGTAGATATTTTCAACTTGTTCCACCATCATTACATTTGGGTTTATTAATACAGGGCTTCTTGGTTCCAGAATGATTATAGTTGCAATTTACTGATTATTTTGCATATTTCACCTCAGTTAACCGACAAAGCAGATAGGTATTGTTTCTATGTTTTACATAACTGGAAATTGAAATATGGAGCAGATTTGGTTTTCTGGAAGCCAAGATAGATTAGAGATCAACAACTGTGAAAGGAAGAGAGCAGAGGAAGAAATTAAGCTGGGCTGTAGGCCTAATATACCCTTAGCAAACTCAGTTGGGAACTCTGGATCAAGTATTGCCCATCAGCTTCCCATGTCAGGTCAAAATGGCCAGCACTTTTTGCTCCATCACTGGATGCAAGCTGTCATGGGAAAGCATGACGTTGGTCAAGGTGTGTCTCAGCTGAGCAGAGCTGGGAGAAGTTTACATTGGAGGTACTCTACCTATTGCATTCCCCCCAGCTAAGAGCAAATACAGTGTTGAAGGGGGATCTGAGAGGTGCATCTCCATCTCTGTGTCTACTACAGACTCTAGGAACATAGAAAATCTATTGAAAGTCCAATAACTAGTAAGTGACAAAGATTTGATACCATGTTTTATGTGATTCAAAAACTTATGTCCCCTGCCCACTCATAAATGGTTTCTAAATATTCCTTTAAACTAATATATCAAAATCACCTTTGGAGCTTTTTAAAAATAGTGATATCTGGACTTCACCCTGTGAGATTCTGATTCAATGGAAGTGGGTAGGATTCAAAAATTCCACCCATTTTATTGAAAGTGCTCAGGCTGATTATAAAGTACAGTCATGTATAGAAATCATTTCTAACAATAACATTAATTTAAAAATTACACCAAATAGAAAAATGTCAAAGTTTTTAAATTATTTACAGTAAAGCTATGGAATGTTTTGGGGGGTAGTTAAAAAGATCAGAACCAAGATGCATCTCTTTGGGTTTTCTAACATCAGGGGCAAGACTTTTCCAGGACCCTGCATCATGTTTTGTGATTGCTGGTTCTCTGATCACCTAGGGGAAAAATATTCCTAGCAGAAAGTATAGCTGCTTCATGATTCTTGAAAGCAACTGAGTCTGTAAGTGAACTAAAAAATTTGCCCTCCAGGTAGTTCCTAAGACGTTTGTAAAAAGAATGTGAAGAAACCAAATTCTCTCTTTTTGTCTTTCAACATAAAACTAATTATAGGTTCATGTTTTTAAAATTGTTTCAATATGTAATGCAATCACTTTCAAGAATGTAGTGAATTCTTTAAATTTGCAAATGTAAATGAAAATTATGATTTTTGGTTTAAACAATACATAATTATGATGGGATTACAAAAGTTATAAGCTTAAGGCAAGACTGACTTGTTACTGGGATAACAAATTTCTGAGTCTGGCTTCTTTTTATTTATTTATTTTTTTTCCTAGAAAAAAGACAGGAATGAGAATCTGAGGCAGAGTTTTATCTACAGTGGGCCTCTCAACTCTAGCTGTGGAGGGATAAAGAGGTAGGCATGCTAATAAAAGCAAGAAGGTATATATATATATATTTTTAAAATACTTTAGATGCTACATGAGGGTCTTTCCAAATTTTGTCTAATTAGTATGGATTTTCACTATGAAAAAATACTTAAAATAGTGACATAATAGTTTCAAGCTGAGATAAAGTTAACATGACCTCTCTCTAGTTTGGGACAATATCCTGAGCTTATGGGCTATGGCTTTTGACCCGTGCACCATTTTATTTTATTTATATATATATTTTTGAGACGGAGTTTTGCTCTTGTTACCCAGGCTGGAGTGCAATGGCGCAATCTTGGCTCACCACAACCTCCGCCTCCTGGGTTCAGGCAATTCTCCTGCCTCAGCCTCCTGAGTAGCTGGGAGTACAGGCACGCGCCACCATGCCCAGCTAATTTTTTGTATTTTTAGTAGAGACAGCGTTTCACCATATTGACCAGGATGGTCTCGATCTCTTGACTGACCTGTGCACCATTTTAAAGGGGCAGTAAGCCTTGCTACAGCTGCCACAGAAAGTTTTACTCTACTGTGAACATAGGAAAATGAAAGAACTGTGTAAATACTGCACAAATATTTCCCAGGATGTTTATCTGATTGGTAATAAAAATTCTAAAAGGTTATGTGTAGCCTCTCTGTATTATACTATATTATAGGACCAACACTAAAGTTGAATGTGAGGAAATCATGGTACTGGCTGAATGCGTTCTTTAAAATCAGCAGTAGCAACTCATTCATCATTTATCTCCAACCATAGCACATTGTCTAATTGAATCAATAAATATGCGATAACCGTTTTTTAATTTTATGTACTTAAAACCACTGAAGTTTGGCCTTGGAAAAAAATCGTGAATATCTGAGGAAAAAGCTTACATAATCTACTTCTGTCAATGACCACAAGTGCTACAAATCTAGATCTCTCATTTGGAGTCTCAAATGGCAGGTGAATTTGATGATCTCCTATGACTATAAGCTAAGCTAGTTATTACAAGTGGTTGTGGAGAAAACAGCCCTATGGTGGCCTGTGCCATCTGATCTTGAACTTTTTTATTTCTTCCTTTACGGTTTCTATTCTACTTCATTAAGACAACAACTGTATGATGAATGTTTAAAATGGAAATTTCCTTTAATTGATATTCAAGATCTCCTTTAGATTAGAACTTTATTTTCTAGAGAGAACGTGTAGCCAATATTAATGATGATCTTGTTCCATTGATATGTATCCACAGATTAAAGACGGCTGTTCTTCCTTTTACTGTTAAAGAAGTACTTCCTGTCACTCATTTTCTCCATAACCTCAGATAAGTCTTCACTGGTTTAATGACAATAGGCATCCTCATCTTACCGTGACAAGTACAGGAAAAAAAAGAAACCTAAAATCTTTTACATAAAAGAAGTTTCATAATCACAGGCTATCACAAAGGGAAAAGTGTATAGTTACCATTGATAGTTTTAACATAAATTTCCCGACCTTAATTTGATTAATATCTCAAAGACTGCAACAATGTAAATTTCTTTAAAGTTTAATTGCTCATTTCACTTTGAGCACAGGAAAAACCTCAAGCTGGGGCAAAAATGTAGCAGAGCGGAAGGAGAAGTTAAGGACTGAGCTGCTTTGCAGATCAGTGTTTGAAAGTGAACAGCCAACCTAACAAGAAGCAAAAACCACAGAACAGAGAACCACATTGTCTTTCTGTTCACTTCGTTTCACAAAATCATCCAGGATCTTCCTATGTTTCTCTCTCTCTACCTTTCTCTCTCTCTCTTCTTTTTTTTTTTAATTTCACAGATACCACTGGGGTAGGTAAACTGACCCAACTTTGCAGAACTCAGAGGACGAAGAGAAGACTTCTACTTGAGCAGTTTTTCCATCCCTGCTATGTGCAGGAAATGAAGACATTGCCTGCCATGCTCGGAATTGGGAAATTATTTGGGGTCTTCTTCCTAATCCCATATCTGAACATCTGGAGAATCCATGGTAAGGCACCTGCTTAGATTGTTCCTGGATTTATTTCTCAGGGAGGCTTGGAGGCAACAGTTTTCCCTGCTGAACTTAGTCCGGTGTAATGTTTGTGCTAAGTGGGTAATCGTAGATAAAACCAAGCAGTTACATTTGCTTACCGAAGGCATCGTAGAGCATAAACCAAGTTAGAACATAGTATTCACCTGCCTAAAATACAGGCATTGCATCCATAGCTTGGGTAACTTTCTTAAAAAAACAAGTTGATGGTAAGAAAAGAGAACTGAGTAGATGTTATAAATAGTTAAGTACAAATCTATCACTACTTCTTGTGAAAATGCTCTGGCTGCCCTACTGATGATGAATAGCCATTCTTTCTAAACTGAGCACCGTAGAATGTTGCAGTGCTTATTTGGGTAGGACAGATGTTGGAGTTACTCTCAAAAAATATTGTTTCTAAATAAAATCTCTATACTTGCTTCAGTGGGGTGTATGCCTTGAGAATACCGATTGAGAAAAGTCACTTGCTACCTTATATTGACATAGGAACCCACGTATCATCAAGAGGGAAAGCCTATGAGTAGCTCATTAAAAGCTTCTGATTTTTCAGGGTTTATTTATATTTTATTTTTTTGAAACAGAGTTTTGCTTCTGTCACCCAGGCTGGAGTACAGTGGTGTGATCTCAACTCATTGCAACCTCCACTTCCAGGGTTCAAGCTATTCTCCTGCCTCAGCCTCTGGAGTAGCTGGGATTACAGGCACCTGCCAACATGCCCAGCTAATTTTTGTTTTTAGTAGAGACGGGGTTTCACCATGTTGGGCAGCCTGGTCTCGAGCTCCTGACCCCAAGTGATCCACCTGCCTCAGGCTCCCAAAGAGCTAGGATCACAGGCGTAAGCCACCGCACCCAGCAATTTTTCAGGTTTTAAATATTCTGTCTCATTATCCCCACAAGCACACATGTATCAGTTTGTGTATTGCAATTTTAAATTAGAAAATCTGGTCACTGAGGTTCTATGGAAAGTCTATCTGTAATTTGAAACTGCATAGTTTGGAATTTGTCTCTATGATGCCAGGACGCCACACAACCAAGTGCAAAGTAAAAAAAATCCTTAGCTACCCAAGCACTTTTATGTTTGCAAGTATCTAGTATTAAGTCAACTAGGTGCTTAGATGATTAGCTGAATTTTTCACCTTCCATCAGATGCCAGTAGTCACATAGCTACAACTGGAGTCAAATTATTAAATAGAATTCATCCCCATTTGAAGGATACATAAACTACTCTCTGAAATTAAGACCAATGAGTTTCAGGACTAAACTGCCCTAAGGGTGGAGTATGACATTTATTAATGTGCAACCTGGTGTTTGCAAAAGTGAACTTGGATGTCAGAACTGGGTTAATTTCCTTCCCACTTACTGCATGGTCTTGATTTAGTCTCTTCTCTCATCTTTAGTTTCCTCACTTGTACAATTGAGATAATAATTGTACCTAAATGATGGGGCCACTATGAAGACTGCAAATGTAATAGTATGGGTAAAGTGCCTAGCATAGTAAGTGTACATATTTAGAGCTCAAAAAATGTTAGTGGTATTTTTTCCTATATTATTTTCACCAAGCAACCTCCATGTAATTAAATAAGAAGTGTATTTTAACATCATTATTTAAAATATTTGAGTTTTTAAAATTAAAATAAATAAATAGAATATATTTTGCAATATATTTAGTCCAAAATATAATGAATCAAATTATTCAGAAAACCAAATGCAGCCAGGAACCGTGGCTCACACCTGTAATCCCAGCACGTTGGGAGGCTAAGACACGTGCATCACCTGAGTTCAAGAGTTTAAGACCAGACTGGCCAACATGGTGAAACCCCATCTCTAATAAAAATACAAAAATTACCTGGGTGTGGAGGGAGGTGCCTGTAATCCTAGCTACTCGGGAGGCCAAGTCAGGAGGATAGCTTGAACCCAGGCAGGAGGTGAGGCTTCAGTAAGCCAAGATCACACCACTGCACTCAAGGAAAGAAAGAGAGAAAGAGAGAAAGAGAGAAAGAAAGAAAAGAAAGAAAGAAAGAAAGAAAGAAAGAAAGAAAGAAAGAAAGAAAGGAAGGAAGGAAGAAAGAAAGAGAGAAAGACAGACTTGAATGAAGTGCTGGTCAGATAGCTTATATACCAGTTGATATAATGGATTGCAGCATCAGTTGCATTAAATTGGGGCTATAGGTTGAGAAAAGAAACATTTGGTGAAATTTGTTCTTCCAGGCAGAGCTGATGGCTCCATTTCTTAAAACCACATTAATTACTTTCTATCTTGGGGATTTCCTGAGATTACTTAATTACTGAGTTCTTTACAGTAACACATTTTCAAAGTGTTTAAAGGTAATCTTTGAAGATTTTCCTCCTACTTCAAAGCAATGTGAGACCCATGTCCTTGTTCCTAGGAGTAAGGCTGCATCTATAATAAGGCTGGAAAAAATGTGATGTTCTTTACAAACTACCTGTTTAAGGTCCTCCTTTATTATGAAAGTATGCTTGCTTATTTTCGTGTTTCTCCAAAACATTAGAGAAACTTGCCCCGAGTGTGTGGCATAGAATTTCTGTCCTGCTAGAAGTAATAAAATGTCAACACCTTCCCTTCATGGGCAGATCATACTGGCAAGAACTAGACTGCAAGTGGAAGTGTCTCTGTCCATTGCCTGGCCTGTCATCCTGGACCATTTGTCTGAGGCTGCCCTAGACCCTAGTTCAGTTGAGGATAACCAAGGATTCTACCTTTAGGCAGGCAGGAACACTGCAGTTATTGTCTGGGTATCGCCTAGCAGAATGTATGATCCAAAATAAAGGCAGTTAGAACTCTTTGATTGATTACTGGTTATTGTGATTTTTCAAAAACGCAATCTTAGTCTGGTTCAGTAAGGGAAGAACACCTGTATTCTGGCTCTTTTGAGAATACAGTGGTTAAAGCCATGTCTCCATTTTGGTCTGGCCTGTGTAATTTTTTGCTTTTATTATGATGGTCCAGTATGATCCATGGATCAGCTTTCAAATACCATATTCCACAGGCCATGCAGATTTTTTGCTCTACCACAAACTGGCCATATCTTTGGGTCAAAAAAGACACACCGCAACAGATGGTGCTCTGCAATTATCTATCGTTCCTTGAAGTTCAGGCTTTGTAGCATCGTATCTTTATAAAGCATATATCTATGGCTTCAGCCATTTGTTCCTATTGAAATGTGCGCATGGAGGAATGCTAGAGATAGAGCTGTCTTCTGCCAAGTGCCTATGTATTATTACAAAATGCCTGCCACATATTAAATAAATGTTTAGGAATGCATTCTGTGGTTACAGGACTTCTTGAATTAAAGCACGAACAGATTAACCCTGTGGTGATTGCAGCCTGGAATATACTTTCCAATCACAGAGAAGTTCTTTAATTCCTTGTTGCTTCCTCTGTCCTCCTACCAAAGTTTCCTCTACTATAAAGTTGAAGTCAAGAGCTGTTTATCTTGCCTCATTGGGACTTTCCTACTTAATTTCCATTATTTGCGAGTTTCATTTTTATGTAGAGTTCAGAATTGAAAAAAATGTTTACAGGCATTTTTAATCAGGTTCACAAAAAATTTTAATCATTTTCTTTTTTCCTTGGAGAAGCTGTGTGGTATAGTGGCTAAGATCAGGTGTGGTATAGTGGCTAAGAGCCAGACTGACTGGATTAGTATCCGATGTCTGCCATTTAATAGTTTTGTGACTATAAAGTCTCCGGTCCTCAGTTTCCTCATCTAAAAAATGGGAGAATAAACTTATAAGATTGTTGTGACTTTTAGGTGAATTAATTCTGTAAAACACTTAGAATAGTGCATGGTATGTCATGAAGTGATGTGTATATTTAGCTAACTTTTTTTCTTTTAGTCCAACATTTCATTAGCTTAATAGTCTCATTAAAGTAACATTGGGTGACAACTGGGAATCAACCAGAAATAAAACTTTGGAGTTGACAAAAGTCTTCTCTAAATTACTATTGATATTATCATCTACTCTTTTTTTCTTTATTTCTTCTAAAAAAAAAAAGGAACAGGATACATGTGCAGAACGTGCAAATTTGCTACATAGATATTCAAATGCCACGGTGGTTTGCTGAACCTATTGACCTATCCTGTAATTTTCCTTTCCTCCTCCCCACCCTCAACAGGCTCTGGTTTGTGTTGTTCCCCTCTCTGTATCCATATGTTCTCGTTGTTCAGCTCCCACTAATGAGTCAGAACATGCAACGTTTGGTTTTCGGTTCCTATGCTAGTTTGCTGAGGATTATGGCTTCCTGCTTCATCTGTGTGCCTGCAAAGCACATGATCTCATCCCTTTTTATGGCTGCGTAGTATTCCATGGTGTATAGGTACCACATTTTTTTTTTCCAGTCTATCATTGATGGGCATTTGGGTTGGTTCCATGTCTTTGCTATTGTAAATAGTGCTGCAATAAACATACCTGTGCATGTGTCTTTATAGTAGAATGATTTATATTCCTTTGGGTATATACTCAGTAATGGGATTGCTGGGTCAAATGGTATTTCTGGTTCTAGATCCTTGAGGAATTGCCATCCTGTTTTCCACAATGGTTGAACTAATTTACACTCCCATCAACAGTGTAAAAGCATTCCTAATTCTCTATAGCCTCACCAGCATCTATTGTTTCCTGACTTTTTAAAAATTGCCATTCTGACTGGCGTGAGATTGTATTTCATTGTGGTTTTGATTTGCATTTCTCTGATTATCAGTGATGTTGAGCTTTTATTCTTATGTTCATTGGTCACATAAATGTCTTCTTTTGAGAAGTGTCAGCTTAGGTGAGGTGCAGTGGCTCATGCCTGTTATCCCAGCACTTTGGGAGGCTGAGGCAGGCAGATAATTTGAGATCAGAAGTTCAAGACCAATCTGGCCAACATGGTGAAACCTTGTCTGTACTAAAAATACAAAAATTAGCTGGGCTTGGTGGTGCACACCTGTAATACCAGC